CATAAAGAATGTGTAGGTGATATCAAGCCTATATCTCTATACAACTATTCATCCCTAAGTCATTAAGTTCCACTCTAGAAACGATTCCTGGAATTCCACTTCTCAATTTCACAACCTAAAATTGTTTCAACTAGATCCTTCATGTTTATCTCTTGATCTCACACCAACCTAAGTTGTTCTATCCGTTTCTTGATTGCTTGAACGTTCCCCTCTCGAGTATTAATCCTCAGAATAAAAATTTGCCCAATTCAAAATCTCATAAAGCATGGCAATATGTAAATCATAGATTTAGCAGCAATAATTCAAAATAGAACACGAAAGAAACGAAGAGCTTAATTAAATGCACATTAAAACGTCGAAACAATAATCACAAATAGAGATTCATCTAAACCCTAACAAATAAGAAAATTAGCCACACATCATGTGGCTCTCAGTGTCAAAATAATATTCAAAATATAGAGAAATACAAGAAGAAAGAGAAGAAAGAACGTTTGGAATTCTTGAAGAACTGCTCCAATCTCCAATCCTCTCCGATTCAGTTTTTCTCCTTTTGAAAACCCTTTTTCTCCTCCCTTTTGCAGTTTTTAGTCTCCCCTTTTATATCCCACGTTCAGCACGCCTCCCAAGAAGCCAAATCGCTTTCCATAAAAATCTCTACCCCTAACCTAGGACAAAATGCGTGTTTTTAATAAAATCGGGAGGCGACATATCGCATAGAAATAGGCGACATATCGCAGCTCTCTGTTATCTGTGCACCAAACTAGGGCAGCGGCAAATCAGGCGACATATCGCCTGGAAGGAAGCGACATATCGCCTGGAGGCGGCGACATATCGCCTGGGAGGAAGCGACATATCGCAGCTCTCGCTGTTTCTTTGTATAAGTTTGCTCGATTTTTACTCCTTTTCAAGCCGCATCGCCATCTGAAGGCAACGTATCGTCTCATTCTCTGTCTTTTTGATTCAAAATGCCTCAAAACTCAGCAATTTCATCCATTGCTGCACACTCAAGGAAAAATCATCAAATCCACATAAAAACTTGAGAAAAAACATGCCGAAACTAGCTAAAGGAGTAACAAATGAGTGCATAATTTACGCACTCATCAGCTGCTCTTTTACAGTGGGCCCCGTAAGCTGGGTTTCTGGTGGGCCCTCTTGACGCGCTTCTTCGATGGCACCGGTGTTTCCAGATGGTCGAGCTTTTAATCTAACAAGTTGCTATTATTTTAGTAATTAACGATATCATCAAAGAAGAAAATTATTATATTGCGTTTTTATTATTAGATGAAGAACTTGACTTGTCAGAATGACTTGAATAATTAGCATTTTCCTCATCATTCAGGTGACGGCTCTCCTCTCTCCTCTCTCTCTTTCCTCTCTGTCTTCCTCGCACGACGCTGCGCCCGTCCCTCCCTCTCCCTCTCTTCTCCTCCGCCTTCTCTCTCCTCTCTTCCGCGGCGGTCGTCGTCGGCCGTGATCTTTGTTCTCCGGCGTGATCTGTCGCTGTCCTTGCCTGCGCCGCCATCGTTCATCACGTCGGAGCCCGCAACGGAATCGTCTTCGGCCGTGATCTTACTTCTCCGGCGCGATCTACTGCCGTCCTTGCCTGTGTCACCATCGTTCATCACGTCGGAGCTTGCAACGAAATCGTCCTTGGTCGTGATCTTTCTTCTCTGTCGGGATCTACCGCTGTCCTTACCTACGTTGCCATCATCTATCACGCCAGAGCTCGCTGAAATCGTCCTCCATCTAGTTGTATGTTGTTCAAAAACTTTCAAAAAATTTGTTTTTCCATAAATTTTCTTTCAGGTTCCAAACTAGGTGAAAGTTTTTTATTCTTTTCCCCTTTATTTTCTTTTTCCGTTTCCTTCAAAATCTTTTTCCCCATAAAATCCCACTTCCAAACATGGCCTTAACTTAATGTGTTTTTCCTTTTAATTTTCATGTTCTAAGGGCTATTTAATTAGTTGCTTTGAATTTTTAATTAGAGTTAAAATATAATTTTATTTAAAATTTTTTTATTATGATAAAAAATTAAATATAATTATTTTTAAAATTTTTTTATTATAATAAAATTTTAATTTTAAATTTAAATTGATAAAATAAATAGAACTTAAATTATTGAAATATGTCTATGATACCGTGTGATGTTGATTGGCATTGAATATTGTCATGGATGTAATTGAAATTGCCTACAAATATTTTTGATTAACTAGAAAGATAGAGCCCATTTAGTAATTTTTTTAAAATTATTTTATTTTTGGTAAAAATTGAAAATAAAATTATTAAAAATTATTCTAAAACTGATTCTGAAATTATGTTTGGTGGTCTTTCAAAAAAATAATTTGAGTATGACAAAAAAGTTAAATTGGGTTTGACTACATTTATATTTGTTTTAAGTACATGTAATTAATACTATTAAATTAATATATTAAGTAATTAAATTGATAATTATTTAGCAAATAAAAATTAATATATTAGTAATATAATAATAATAGATAAATCAATTAGTAATTAAACTATATATAATATATTAATATGCTAAATAATATAAAAATAGTGATTAGTAATTAATTATAATTAATTACTATGTTAGTAATGTACTAATATTTATTAGATTATAAGTAATTAATTAGTGTATGAAAAAAATAATCAATATGTACATAATTTATTAATATTCTATTTACTACTTAAATTATTAACTTTTAATTAAATAATTAAATAATTATTTAATTAATTACTAATGTTTATTTAATAATTTATTATTTGATATATCACATGATTAATTTTTGACATTTATTCTTTTTATAATGATAAGTTACTAATTCTCAATTATTAATTATTATTGATTATTATATTATCTATGGATAATTATAATTTAATATTAATTATTAATTGAGTAATTACTATTTATTTTTTGTTTACTAACTTTACTAATTAATAGATTATAATTAACATAATATATGATTGATATATTAATTATTAATTATTTATTCAATCACCTATTATTACTTGTTTTATTGTTAATATGTTATATAATTAATTTTTGACAATTAATCTTTAACTAAATAATAATTACTATATTATTTAT